ATTGGGCCAGCACGTGGGCGCGCTCCGCTACTCTGTGATGCCATCACCCTTCCCTTTCCCTTTCTACGTCGACGTCTCCTCTGCTCTCCTCCCTTTGCTGCAGACAGCACATCCCAACGACGGCTGGACATAGAATGGACTCCATCGCTCCGTAGAATCATCATCGCTATCGTCCCCAACCTCCTCCCTTGTGCCTCCCTTTTACTGTTTTTCGTTCTCACTGCATGCTGGAACGCCCGCCCCGTGTCGCCTCTGGCTTCTTGTCATTTGAATTCTGAGTTATCGGCCATTTCACTGCCTCTCCAGTGTTCCCGCTTCCCTCCCTGATCGGCTCGCCCATACGTATCCGACCAGGTATTACTCTGCGCAGTCGACATTTATTGCCTGTACCCGGCACTGCGCCTTTGAGGGCTGCTGGCGACGTGAACTTGGTGCGTCCTGTACTGTATCTCTTCCAGATACATGGCTGCGACGCAGACCATGTGCAACTCCCTCTTGTGTCCCACTGTTATTCGTGCGTCCCAACTACACGTTCCTACTAATGAGTCTCATCCCCAGCGATATCGGCGCACGCCCAGCGAAATCGACGCACGAATCACTCTCCGTTGGGACGACGGCAACAACGACACCCAGGCACTCTGCACCATCGAACCAGCACCTATATATAGCCGTCCCCTTCGGACTTTCGCGCATATGCATCTGCGTCCGCATCCCTATCCGCACCTCGTTTCGCTCACTCCCATCCACTCGCCCGGTCCCTTCAAGTTTGCTTGTTGGTTTGTTTTCGCCGCCGCCGGCCATGCTCTACGGCACACCGGCACAACATGCTTCCTCCACGCGGATACCATCTCTGCGCAGCAGCAGCCCCTCCACGCAGATCTTGCCACCCTGCTAATCAGTATTCGCCGATACCAAGGGCGGTCTATGCCATGCACATCGACGTTCAAGACCTCTGTATTTGATTGTATGGGGTTCTGCACTGTGCATAGTACATACATATACCTGATTACTTTAACTTGCGCAATGGAGCGCGCAGACATTCCCACATCAACTTTCAACCCCGGCCGCCGCCGTGACCACCTCCTCCAAATGCATCGGTCTAGCCGACTGGTACACGCGCTCCGCGAACGCAGCATACTTTGCGGCGTCCTGCAGCGTGGCGTTACCACAGGTTTTCAAATCGCAGATGTGAAGATGATTATCCGTATTACGCTTTTTGCGATATCACGCTTTGTCGACTTTGGTGAGCACCCTCCCGCCGTCTATGCCCGCTGCCGCCGCTCAAGCTTCAACAGGTTTTTGAGCTTTGCAGGGCCGGCGTCACAAATCTACACCTGTACGCACACAACTGCCCGGGCCGACTCAATGCTTGCCGGTGCGCCTTCTCTCTACCAATCCATGCTCACTTCCGAACCTAGTAAATTGGAGGTAACTCCATTGCGACTAGGTTTCGAAAGACATCATCAGTAGGATCGAATCCGACACCGGTACCGCCTTCTTCAACCCTTTTTCGAGAGCGCGTATGAGGATCCGCCCGGTAGGTCCCCGCCCGCACCTGCCTCTGCCTCGTCTGCGGCCGGGCCACGGCGCTGCCCCCTCGCAGAATTTGAATTTCGAACGCGAACAACTGCCCGCCGGCCCGACGTACGTTGTTCTCCTCACGCAAACCGTCCTGTTTTTGCTCACCGTCGCCCTCGGCAAGTGCCCATTCCGTCCGTTTGCGGCTCTCCGGCTCTGCATCTGTTAAGTCTTCTTTCGAGTCGTTCGGAGATGCTTCTGCGTACATCTTGAACAGGAGCATCTTATTTTCGTTTCTTGCGCTGCGCTGAATCACATTCACCCTCGGGTCCTATTGCCCATCCAGACAATCTCTGTTCCTCGAGTATCAACCCTGCGCATTCAGATCACTTCTATTAAACCTCGATATCTTGTCAGAATCGCGGTACCAAGACAAGACCTTCTGCAGATCTACGTGTACTTGAAAGTGGCGACGCAATGGTGAAATGCATCACGTCCGCTTTGAGTACAGGTGTACATATTGGAGTTCGGCGGAAGTCGCCCGTTCGAGTCGGGTTTGGGTCATGCTATGTACTTGAACTTTTTTTTTCTGTCCCCTTTCGTCTCCGAACCCAATCTCGGTCATTTTTTTTGATTCATTTTTCAGGCCATGTTCATGTACGCACAAGGAGCTACAAACTCTGTGCCGCAGGGGAATGTTACATAGACCGCTCAACTTGAGGAAAACATCGACGAATATTCAACCTTCTCCGCATTGAAGGGAGACACAGTCGGGAAATGAATCACGTCCGCATTGAATATGTATCTGCGACAAAACGTTCAGCAGAAGCAGTCCGTTGAAGTCCTTGGCTTTTTGTCAGCGGAGGTAAACCCTTTGGAAGCAACCTAGATAACGAGGTTAGTATTAAGAGACCCGGTGGTGAGATGCATCGTGTCCATGTCAAGTATAACCGCCGTCTAATTATTCGTTCTCTTAGTCTTTACAGGCTCGTTCGTTGACACGTATTTGTGCTGCAGTGCTTTCACACTATCCCCATGCCCATTTCTCTCTCCCCGTCCCCGCTAAACAGCAGTATATCCCCATCCCTGCTTCTCTTCCCACTATTGCCCTTTTTTCCGCTGCCTTCACGCCGGTGAAAGGCTGTGAAAGCGCTAAATTTCAACAGATGTCGAACAGCCTTTCCGCAATCTGAGCTATCCCCATTTTCCTTTCTCTCGTCCACCCACTCCTTCTCCGCAGTCAGGGTTCACATGGCCTTCTCTTCGTTTCATTCCGACCGAATAGGCGCCAGGAAGCTGTTAACTTCACACCAATTCTGAAATTCTACATCAAGAGGCACATCCCGTGGTCGAGGTTTTCACAGCACTCTGTACAGCTTACACTGCGCCGCAGCGTTGCCACAGTCGTCCTGCTATACATAAGAGATTTCTGAAAGTCTGATAGCCCATCGTCCTCTTTGCTTCCCTCACTTCAATTCCACTGCTCGCCCGTCCCCGGTCTCAATTTTTCGTCGGAATGTTCTCAAATTTCTTCGACAAACCACCCTCAAGATATTCAAGATGATACCTTGCAACCCGCATTCATCAATTCTCAAGCTCGCCACGGTCTGCTCTGTTTTTTTACCCTCAAGATCTACAACGGTCTGGATGTTCAGTGTTCCTGGGGGCTGCTTTCCTATGGATGAGCAAAATCAATGTCAGCATACCGCGCCGCTCCCTGATATACATTATGGGTTCAACGTTGTGCTGATTTATTTATTTCCTCCCCGCTACAGAACAAATGCATCTCGCTTCCTGCCGCACAACGCCCCCGACAACCATGCTCGCTGTGGAAGCACCGCCCTCAGGTGGTGCCAAACAACCTAACGGATTTGGGGTATGCCTGCGCTCAACTTTCATCGCTTACGCTGATGTACTTTGGGCTTCCAGTTGAAGCCGAGGTTTACTAACCGATCAGCTGGGTATTATGTGGCAGTGGCTGTGCTTATGTGGCAATATGTGGCATTATGTGTCGGGCTCGCTGCAGCATCGCTCCCTAGGGTCATGGAGCTCGGAGAAAATTATAGTAGCGATAGGATACTCTATTGAAGAGTACTGGGTACTTAGAACATTATTTTGATGCTCAAAACTGACGTACGAGACAATTCTCGTGGGTGACACATATATATTTGGTCATGTTACAGGATCCTTTTGCCTCCTCCCGCCACTACAATGTGCGCTCCCTCCACTTACGCTACTGTGTCAAGCATTCTACCCTCCTACAATGCAAATGAGCTTCTTCAACACCTTCCAGACCATGCCATCTGTGTCCAATGTAGAAAGACTTGAAAGTAGCTGCATGCAATTTGTTCCTTTTGCACTGGCATGCTCTTGCGCAACTCTGCCGTGGTCGAGGGAACATGTGAACCATGGTAATTAAGCTCCGACCGAACGTCCGCAAGACAAAATGCCGCAACACTCGCTATAGGCAGGCAAGGCCAAACCTCTGACAGCTCTGTGTTCAATTTACCCGGCCATACCGGTTAGTAACTCGGTCTGGAACTGCTGTTTCAATGCTACGTACCTCAAATTGCGGTAGTCAAACCTGCTGGCCTATCCAGCTCCAAAATCTCTTTGAGTCCTCCCTGTGTTATGTGTCGAACATTGACCATCCGCCAGATCCTGAGCTCGAGGCCATGCAAGTATTTTCTTGATCAACTTTTGGAGAATGCTCATGTCTGATCCCTAGAGAAAATTCCAGTCATTGTTCCTATGTATCCGAAGAACGGTCGCAAAGAATTGTACATAAACTGACGATGGTGTTGCGGGCAAACCTATCCACTGGCTGTTGCACCTCATTGAATACTCTGTACAAATTATACAGGCACAATAGGGCACACTTGTAATTTTTAGTAATGTTTCCGGTGGTAAAACCGTATTATAGATGCAGTCCCAGGATAAATTGTCTCGCCATTGCCACTGCCTGTTCTGTTGGGTACCCATAACATTTAACATTTGAAAGGAACGAATGGAACGATTGCACCGCTTATACGTCAGTTCAACGAGTTCCAGAGAGCTCTCGCTTTTCCCCCTTTCTCCTTCCTTTTTCGAATTCTTTTTCGTGTTTGCGCCCGTTGATACCCAGTACATTGGTTCCAAAACCGAAGCCGATGAACCCTGATCTGTTTCGTGGTGTGTATTTTACCACGATGTTGTACATATATATATATCTCATCTTTTGTCTCTTCTTTGAGCTTTGGGACCCCACATTTAATCAAGTTATAAGTCTATCTTGAGTGTATCGTGGTTTCCCTTCGACTCGGCTCCGCTGCCGGAGCGAAGCGTCGGCTTGCCTTGTACTTATCAAAATTTCAGTAGAAGTCGCCCGTTCAACAGCGGGAGAGGAAGTTACCCAATCAACTCGGGTCCGGGCGATCCTTTCTTTCTGCTCGTGCGCCGGAAGCATCTACATAGATCATAAGTTCAGTGGGACGGTGTATACTGACCCGGTGGTGAAATGAATCACGTCCGCCGTAAATAGTATGGAATTCGATTCCGACGTGTCGGCAGAAGACACCCGTTCAATTCGGGTCCGGGTCCTTGGGCTGTTGCACCTCGGCCTTTTTAGCTCCGAATTGTCGAGCCCTCAGCATGCAATGATCCTCAACCGAGTATTTTTCGCATCCATTGGAAACCCTCTGTACAGACCAAGTAAGTACTTGGTGAAAAATTGATCACCGACAGCGGCTTTCTAGAAAGCAAACCCTCGGGAAGCGTTGAGTAAAGGACCTGATGAGACTGTGTACAGAGACCCGGTGGTGACATGGATCACCTCCACTTCGAGTATAGCCGCAGTGCAATATGTAAATTCCAGTGGAAGTTACTCGTTCAATTTGGGTCCGGGTCATGTCCTCAGAATTTCGCTCATTTTTCGCTTTGACTTTAGATTTCTGTGCTTTTTCCTCTGCATTTATGTGAACGTCTCTCCGATGCGTTGACATCTCTGTGCGCGACGGAATAAAACAGAGTCTATTTCGAGGCGGAATTTTGCAGCCCCTCACTGTTCTCGAAGTGAACCCTCAGGAAGCCGCTTAGATAGAGAGAGACGTCAGTGGACTTGGCTACAGCCCTGGTGGTGAACAGAATCACATCCACTTTGAATGTGCCGATCCATATCGAACTTTCGGTGGAAGCCACCCGTTCAATTCGGGTCCAGGTCATTTCGCCTGTAGGTGACGATTTTATTTCAAGTCCCTGGCTTTTTGCCATCCCATAATTCTCGTTTCAACCAGTTGCAGCATCGGAACTTGGCAACGAAGGTAGGCTCCATCGCGAGCTCAAGTATATACAACGCACATATGAGTCGCGATGGTTGTCGAGAAGCCGCTGTTGCATGTATATACACACTCCCGGGCCATCAATCACACAAGTTTGTTCTTTGGTTCGAATCCGTGCGACTTCAACCCCGCCTCCGAGACTCCGTTTATACCGGTGTCAAATTTCAATCCCTTTCCCGCCGCCGCCTCCAAGGCTGCCTCGCCGTTTCAGTTCCAGAACACCATCGGAGAATAATAATGCATTTTGCTGCGTGACTTCCCGCCTGTACCTAATAACGGTCCTAATTTTTGTGCGAACCTGCGGGGGGAAAAAACAAGTATTGGCAGACGCGTTCAATGAATCAATGGCCAGCACGTGGGCGTGTTCTTGATCCGCAAATCGGCGGTGACGAGTACCAATGCCGTCACCGTTCTTTCCTTTCTTCTACGGCAATGTCTCTTTTTCTCCAGTCTCCTCACCGCCCCACAGCGCGAACCTTGTCTCGTAGCCGACTTACAAGTGCCTCCCTTTTACTGGTTCTCATTCTCGCTCTATGCTGAAACGCCCGCCCCGTCTCACGTCTAGCTATAGTAGCTTGAACTCATCGGCCGGCTTTACTGGGGACCGCATCAACGTCCATTCCGCGTACCTCGACGCCGTCGGGCACCGCCGACGACGTGCACTTGGCCCATCCCTGCATCTCGTCCAGATCTCATGCAACGTTGTCTCGTCATCATCACAACCCACCCACCATCCTAATACACGATGCACGTGCGTACATAGCTGCATCGATGCCTATGTATTGCTCGCTCGCATATGCCGCAGTTCGTTGAGGTGGAGCCGGCACCCGGTGCGTCATTCTCAGAAACATATATTGATATTGACGCGCTCCCCGAGAAAGATAGGAAGTTTGGCTTTCGAATCTTCGACACGCGCTCCAGACCGGCCACCACGACGCCGGCGTCGACCCCCATTGCACCACCTCGTAGCTGCTGGAACCACCTACATATGAAGACTGCAACCGTGCATATTCCCGACGCTCTTGGTTCTCCGCCTTTCACCTTTACCGAATTCCTGCCCGTGTCCCTGCTGCTTTTCCTATCTGTTTCCGGGCTCCGCACACGCGCTTTCATTCACTGACTCACTCAGAGTTCGCCTGCTCCTTCAAGCTTGTTTGTCTTCTCCCCCGCTCATTTCTCCTGCGCTGATCGTGATTCCTCCGCCTGAAATCGATATCCCTACATGGCTACTGCCAATGGAACGGTCTATTGGAACTTCACGTGCATCGGCTCAACTTTGCGTGTTGCAGGATGTCGAGGAAATACTGTAGGATGCTGCAGCACAATTTTTCAAAGCGGATCCACTTCAGGCTCTATACTGTAACTCCTACTAATTTCAACTTCTTCCATTCAGGTGTTTTGCGTCTATTTTGCAGAATCATTGTAGGAGGGAACCGATATTGAGGGTATCTGAAGGGTCGGTGGTGAACGAACGCACAGTATGTGAAATACTTATTGTTAGCAGCTAAGGTCGGGTCCGGCTCATGGTCAAAAATTTACGCTCCTTTTTTCTCTCTTTGCATTGTCAAGATCCTTTGAGCGCGAATTCTTCCTCGTTGATTATAGCTAGCCGCCGAGAACGGCAAAACGGGTCCTCAGGATTGAATCCTGTGTATCCACGTTACCTCCAGGCTCTATCCAACCTCAGGATCTTTTTCAGCCGTTCGCAGCATCGAGACGAAGTACGCTCATACATTTACGTTGGGTTGAAAATACTGACCCAATGGTGAAACCAATCACATCTGCCTCGAATAAAGCTGGCTGTCTGGTGAAATTCTGGCAGAAGTCACCCGTTCAAGTCGGGTTTGCGTCATTAGGAGAGGCTGAACATGTTTTTTCTGTCTCTTTTAAATTCGGTTTCAGGTTCCAATTCCTTCAATCGTTTGCACCATTTCCCATCTCATGTTTAATTTTTTACAAGGAGAGGGCCTTCATGTTCAAGTCCGGGTAATGAGCTACATGGGCGGCTGTCGAGCAAGGTTCCAGAGTACACAGTGAGGTCTGCTACAATTATTTTCGTTAGAAATCCCCAAGCCTCTCCAACCTAATGCATGTTCAGTACAAGTACAGACCCGGTAGTGAGGAGCCTCACATCCGCTTTGCATCATCAGCGACGCTCAGATGCTGCGGAAATTGGCCGTTCGAGTCGGGTCCGGGTCCTGGTCCAGGTCTCTTCATATAAGATTTTTTGGCATCGTTGAATCAGGGTTTTTCTTGTTTTTTTCATCGTGAGTGATTTTGCGATTCGTTGAGACACCTGACTTTGAACCAAGCAACCAAGTAGGTATTTCACGACGGAACTTCCAGCAACTGAATTGTTTGAGAAAGAAACCTCTCAAGAAGCATCCAGGATAAAGAGGTAGGTTGAACTGTGTATTAAGACCCGGTGGTGAAATATATCACGTCTGCTTCGAATGCACATTTGTCGGCATTCCACCAGTCTTCCAGCAGAAGTCGCCCGTTCAACTCGGGTCCGAGTCATTCCACTTATAAAACTGTCCTGTATTCCTTGTACTTTGACATATGCATCCTATCCTCGTTTCAAAGTTCCACAGGATCGGGACCCAATTGCAATATTTGCCGCGATGGTAGGCTCCATCCATCCCGGACACAGGCACAACGTGGCTCTTTCAATTCGTCGTCGAGAAAACAAGAAGTATGAATCTTATCGTGTCAAGGACATAAGGTTGTTCTGCGTTTTGCCCTCTCGGTCTCGGTCTCGATTTCGAGCACCGCTCGTCGCTTCAAGGTAATGGATAATCATGCGATTAAACTCTTTCGAATTCTGTCTCTGAATCCGACTTCTGCTGGAAAATACTTAAGATCCTTCCCGGAGATCCAACCCCGACTCAATTCCCCGATTCAAGCACGTATATTTGGAAGGTTACTTCAAGGGCCGGTGGTGAACGCACTGTATGTGAAATACTTCTCATTAGTGGTTCAACCGTTCAAGGCGCTGGTTCAAATCGGGCCCAGCCAGTCAGGCTGCATTGCGGATGTCTTCTTTCTTGCGCCGTGAAACCTGCTTTTACCGCGAGTATTCACTCATGGATTTTGGCCAGGCTCAAATAAATGCGACCTGCTTGCACCCAAGTATCAATCCTGCTGTCAACGTCACCTCTATCGAACCTCATCATCCGCCAGTAGCATCGAGATGAAATCTGCTTACAGACGTACGTTGATTGAAAGTACCGACCCAATGGTGTAATTAATCACGCCCGCTTTGAATCAGCGTGTAAAGTTCTGGCGGAAGTCACCCGTTCGAGTCGGGTTTGGGTTATAGCAGGTGTGAACTTCTTGTTTTTTGTTCCTTTCGGTTTCATCTTCCGATCCCAATCTCTAGCAATTTTTCAAGTTATGTTCAATTTCTTATAAGCCACGACGAGCTTCATGTTTAATTCTGCGCGACCAATTATCAAAATCGGTAGTGATATATGTCCGTGCAAGAAGAACAATGGAGTATTCAACCTTCTCGGGATTGGAGCTGCAGCCGTGAAATGAAACACATATGCATTTGATATTTATCTGCGACGAAACGTTCAGCAGAAGGTCAACGGCCATTCAAGTCCGCGAATCTTTTCAGAAGTACAGAGTATACAGGATGAAGAGGCTATTGGACCTGGGCATAAGGACCCGGTGGCAGGTGCTGAAATGCATCACGTCCGCTTGTAAATCATGTCCGGATCCTCATCCTGTTGTACATTTGCCTTTGAAAAAAACTCTGAATTGTCAATCTATTAGCATGCAATGACCCTCAACCAAGTATTTTCGACATTTCAAGTTGGAAACCTGGACCGGAAAAAGGAGTGTATTTCGCGACAGAAAGTCCCACTCACTGACTTTTTGAAAAGTTAATCAAACCCCTCCTGAAGCTTCCTGGATAACAAGGTCGGTGGATTAAACGGTCATTGAGGCCGCATATAGAGACCCGGTGGTGAAATGACTCACATCCGCTTCGTTTGGAACGCGGAGAGGGAGGAATATACTTAAGCGGAAGTCACCCGTTCAACTCGGGTCCGGGTCCTGTTGGTCTGGTAACCTTGTTTTCTTGACTCTGTGTTTGAATAATTTTAGCATGTCGCTCTCGTGGTATGCAATGATCCTCCGCCATCTATTTTCGAGGTCCGGTGGAAGCCCTGAGCGCAGATGAAGTAATCAGCACGTCCTTGGTGGGAAAATATTCACGTACAGGTAATTTTCGAAGACTAAATCCTCCCAAAGCATGTATAGAGAGGCAAGGGACTGGGGTATAGAGACCCAGTGGTGAAGTGTACCATGTTCGCTTCGAACTAAGCCAATATTGCATGTAAGTATATACGCATTCCTAGGCCATCAATCACACACGTTTGTTTTGTAGTTCAACAGTCTGTGCGACTCCGTCCCCACCTCCGAGTCTCCACTCCAGACCGGTTGCCGAGTTCATTCCAGGCTTCCGCAGTGCTGATACTAGTAGCTGTTTCAGAACGCCTTCAAAGGATACTATAATCGTACCTCGTAACATACTCAATTACGCGCTGCGCGGTGCCTGGATATAACTCCCTGCACCTTTCCCCGCGGATTCGAAGCAAGTATTGGTGGACGCGTTTAATGAATTTTGAGATGAACAATGGATATTAATGAATGCCTACTAGTAGCACGTGGGCGTGTTTTGTTTTGATGCGCCAACGCAGTGATGCCATCACCGCTCTTTCCTTTCTGCTTTCATGCTCATTTGGTCTCCGTGAGCTGCAGTGTGCGCAACCCCACGACGGGCTGAACATCAGTGGTTGGAATCATCGTCTCGCTAGAGCACCCCTTCTGCTGCTTCTCTACATGCACAGGAACGCCAGCCGCCGTGTGTCGTTGCAGCCCTTGTCGTCTGAACTCCGAGCCATTTTCCCTGCTCAGCTCTACAGACTGCGATCGCTTGAACTGTGACATCACAGGATCTCATGGCTTAGTACATCGTTCTCGTTCGGCTCTATGTACATCCAGGGACCGCATCGTCGAGACGCCGGGTGCTCCCGACAATGTGCATGCGCGCTCTCTCTGGCTGTGACTAGGTCCCTCCTCTCCAAGTCGTCGCAACCCACCATCCCTCCGTAGGCCTCCCTCCGAATTTGTCAATCAGCGGCCACCTGTATCGATCCCTGTGTATCATGATGCTCGCGTATGCAGCAGGTCGTCGAGGAACGAGCACTGCATCTCACTATTGCTGCTGCCGTCCACGCTCCTCGGTCCGCTGCTCTCCGCTGCGCATCACAGCGTTAATGATTCTCTGGTATTCTGTATTCCCCGCCGCCCTTGCTCTTCCGCCTTCTGCCCAAATTTCGCGCATATGCATCCCGTCCGTGTTTTTCCCACATGGCCCGGCTTTCTACCTTCTGCTTCCTTTCTCCCTTCGCTCACTCGTCCACTCGGTGACTCACTCACTCCCGCTTGTTCATCCTCGCAGCGCACTTCGCCGCCATGGCCTTGCTCGCCATCGCCTTGCTCGCTCGCCATCGCCTTGCTCTCTCGCCACGCCCTGATTTCAAATCTACGCCCTAGGATTCTGTACGCCTCCGCTGCAAATGCAAACAAGACGTATTGCCTATGTTCAACCTCGACAAAAATCAAATTTCAGCTCTCCCCACTCATCCCTGGCCACGCTGCTCAACCCCGCTTTGCTCACCAGTATCACGTTTCCTACTCGGCTCACTTACGCTCACGCTCTACGGTGCGGCTGCTCTACTCTTACGATTGCGATTGTTCTACGGTTTCATTAACTCCCTCCCGTCTACATTCACATTTGAATTTGCGCTCTGATTTGCACTCTTGATTGCGATCTCCATTTCGCTCACCGATTCAAGGTGATTATTTGTTTCGGCTTCAACAGTCTTTCTCCCCCAAATCAACTCAAGCACACGTATGCACCGTTCCTTCACCGTTTGCTGGTGGCTCTCCTTTTTTTTCCTCCGAGTCGTTCCTCGCTTGTATCTACGCCTCGTCGTCGGCGTGGCATTTTTCCTTCCCATGTGGATATCTATTCAGGTTCATCCTCCGGCCCGTACTCCTGCTGCCCTAATCATACTGCTACGTATTGTTTATCGATTCAAACGGAACGCAGGTCTTGGCGTGCATCGGTCGGACCTTGTGTGTTGCAAGATGTCGAGGAAACAGGGCGCTGCAGTACGAGTCTTCAAATTTTGCGGAATCGTTGAAGGAGGGCACCGATATTGAGATTATGTGAAGGGCTGGCGGTGACGGGACGCACGGTATGTGAAATACCTACAGTTGGCGGTTCAAGTCGCTCCGGGCCCGGCCCATGGCTCGAGAATTACCCTAATCTTTTCTTTGTGACGTCGAAGATTGGTTGAACTCACGATTACTCACTGAATGATTCTAAGTCTCGAACCAAGGTGAATCACTGGCATTCAGATATCAAACCTGTGCGTCCACGTCGCCTCTAGCCAACTCCGTATCTCCTCAAGCACGGGGCATCAAGAGGAGCTCCTCCTACAAACCTACGTTGAACTGAAAAGCAGACCCAATGATGATGACTCCCTTCCGATCAACCAAGCTGCAGCGCCGGCGCGTATTCCCAACGACGGGATGAACACCCAGGGGCTAAAATCGTCGTTCTGCTATCGTATACGACCTCCTTTTACTGGTGCTTGCTCGATGCACCATGTACCGTCGGCCGCGTCTCGCGACACTAGGGGACAGTCCATGCGTCGGCATCTATTTCTAGACGCTGCCGACAATGTGCTCCCTGTATCTCGTCCCTCTCCCTAATCCCTGTTCCTCAAGTACGAATCCAGCGCGTTCACCACCTCAAATATCCGAACTCAATATACATCTTCCAGGCCGCAACATCAAGATGAAACCTGCTGAAGACGTACGCTGGATTGAATGTACAGACCCAATGGTGAAATGAATCACGTCTACTTTGAATTTTGGATTTCTCAGAGTGTAGCAAGATTTGCGCGGAAGTCACCCGTTCAATTCGGATTTTGAGTCATGGACCGATAGTGTTTCAAAATCTTTTGCTGTCCCTTTCAGTTTCGCATCTCCTTCGCATTATTTTTAGCTCATGTTCAATTCTGCGCAACGGGTTTCAAACTCGGTAGTGGAATGTTACATCCGTTCAGGCGCGGAGGAAGCCTTCAACTGGCAACTGCCCTGACGACATACCATCATTTTGTTTCAAATAATCCCCTATACGCTGCTATGGATGTGTATGGGGGAGCAACAAACACCCGGTGGTGGAAAATGAAGCACGTCCGCTTCGAATGCTCCGTCTCATATCGACGCGTCAGCGGAAGTTACCCGTTCAATTCGGGTCAGGGTCCTATTGCGTTTGTGCCTTCACTTTTTTTTTTAACTCTGCCTTGTCAATATTTTAGCAGACAACGACCCTCAGTCATTATTCACATCTGTTGCAAGCCTGAGTGCAGATCAAGTAAATAAGTAATTCGGAACAAACATTCAATGCTTTGTGAGAAGCAAATTATCACTCGGGAAGTATCTACATGGATGAATACGGCAGTAGGATGGTGTATAGAGACGCAGTGGTGAAACGAATCATATCGGCTTTTTCTGTACTTGGAGAGAATGGAACTGCTGTGAAAGTCACCCGTTCAACTCGGGTCTGCGTCCTACCAGCCAAGAAGCATTATTTTATTTTATAACGACGCCAGGCTTTAGCACCGACACAGATACAACTGCGCTGTTGTTCACCACCGTGATCGCATGTTCGCACGGCTCCAACCCCGCCCCAACTCTCGATTCTAAAGCGGTGTCAATCCATTTCCCACTGCCATCGCGAGTTGCTCTCTCAAATCGCCCTCAAATCAAATCATACAGTTCTACAACCCTATGTAGTTTCGCTTCACAGAGGACATGATAATCACCGCGCTCGTTTCCTGTGAACCTGACGACCCTACGCCAAGCGGACGGACCACTATTGTGCCAGCACGTGGGCGCGTTTTGATCGGCTGATTCGGCACCTGCGCAAGTCGGCTGTGATGCCATCACCAACCTTTCCCTCTTCCCTTTCTACGTCCATGTCGCCTCTCCTCGCCAAGCTGCAGCGGTCGCATCCCCAACGACAGGCTGAACATGAACTCATTCCATCGCTCAGTTGCATCATCGTCCCGTTGTGTAATCCGACTTCCGACCTCAAAATGCCTCCATTTTACCGGTTCTCGCTCTGTGCACAGGCACCCGTCTCGCTTCTTGTCAGCTGAAGTCATTGGCAACAGCCGTTTCATCTCCTGTTGCCCCTCCCTTCTCGCCTCTACCCTGGTCCATGTTACCACTGTGCGCACGGGGACCGCATCCGCATCGACATCCATTCTCAACCCAGCGACGCTGGGCGCTGCTGAGTCCCATGACGTGAATCAGTACCTGGCCCGTCTCTGAACTGGATGGCATCGCAAACCACCCGCTCAATCTATCCATACTGCTCTTCCTCTGCTCCTCTTGCCGAAATCGCATTAATGCCCGGACCGCACATACCCAGTCCCAAAAAATATTTCCGGGAAGTTTGTGTTCGCCTTCGCCACTGCCCACGCTTCAAACCTGGCACTGCATGACGATGGTGCGGCGCTGTGCACTACACTACACCACTTGTACACCCTGGTTACCAAATGCACCTATGCGCAAGGACCGCACACCGTGAGTGCATCTGTTGTATCCCATTCTCCTGGCCACTCTTGCGCGCGTTGGCGCATCGTGCCCTGTCCCTGCCCCTATTCGTGTCCGGCTCCCTTACCCACCTCTGTTTTCACTTTCACTTTCCATGTTTACTCACCGGCCCGCTTCAGGATTGCTTGCTTATCTTCGCCGCCGCTCTTCGCCGCGGTCCGCTGGCGCACTTGCGCCCTCCGCTGCAGATGCAAAGATACCAGGCTCCGAGTCCTGCGCCTATGCATGCCGACGCTGAGGCTGACACACCTAATGCCCAGATTCGAGGTGCATCAGAGGATGGATTTCCGAAACAGTATATACGGGTGCGTTTCGAATTCATTGCAATTCAACAAATGCGAACAGAGGCAGATATAAGCAGAAACAAATGCGGACGGAGTGGATGTATATATGTCACTCAAACCGTATCACATTTTCTGAATCTTAGCTCACCTCGCGCCCGAGGTTGCGCTTACGGTTGAGGTGCAATCCGTCCTTGCAGATATTGTCCCGGAATGTTTCCCGTTTGAATCCAATTCCATGCGGTTTCGCGTGAAAGGGTTGGACTTTCTGCCCCGATTTCGCTGAATAGGAGGACGAACACACAATATGTGATATACTTACTGTACAGTTAACGATTTCAAGTCGCTCGTTCAAATTGGGCCCGGCCCATGGGGATGGAAGTTCGGGTTTTCTTTCGTTGCGGCTTCCCAACCTTCTTTTACCGCAACTATTCACTCGTTGGTGTGAGGTAGTATTTCCGAAAAGCAAATGTCCGCTATCCCGGTATCAATCCTGCGTGACCACGTCACCTGTAATACCCAGCCTCGGTATCTTCTCAAGGGCGGCATCAAAACGACCCCTCCTACGGACATACGTTCATTGAAAGTAACGACCCAATGGTGAAATGTATCACATCCGCTGTGAATAGGTGAGTTGCTCATGTGTAATTCTGGCGGAAGTCACCCGTTCGATTCGGGTTTGGGTCGTGCACCGATAGTGTTTCAAAATCATCTTCTGTCGACTTGGGTTTCCGATACCAATCCCTGCAATCGTTTGCACTATTTTTCAGGTCAGGTTCAATTCCGCGGAACGAGCTTCAAGCTTGAAAACCAAGACCTCTGATAAAGCCAAACCTGCGCATCCACGTCACCTCTACTCTCCAACCTCAGTATCTTCTCAAAGCATTTGCAGGATCGAAAGTAAACCTCGTGCAGACGTACATTGATTAAAAGTACCGACTCAATGGTAAAATATATCACATGCGCCTCGAATACAGCGGGCTTTGTTCTGACATTCTGGCAGAAGTCACCCGTTCAACTCAGGTTTGGGTCATGGAACGTGGGTGTCATGTTTTTTCCCCCTCCCTTCTGGTTTTGGTTTCCCATCCCTTCATTCCTGTGCATCATTTTCGGGCCATGTTCAAATTCTTACAGAGAGATGTAGGTTCAATTCCATGGAACGAGCTATGAAGTTCGGGCTCGGTGGCAGCTTTCAGACAATGTTCTACAGTAAGGACTGCTAGGAGTATTTTTTTTCGAAACCCCCCAGACGCTAATGTATGTGGAGTAGAAACACAGACCCGGTGATGAGGTGCCTCACATCCGCCGTGCATCATCGACGTATGCGGCGGAAGTTACCCGTTCGAGTCGGATCCGGGTACTGGCCCCGTCATAACAAGATTCTGCATTGAATTTATACTCACTCAACCGCGGTGAGCTCTCCTTGCATTGCGAGAACCGTGGCCTTAAACCAAGCAACCAAGGAGAGTGTAATTCACGCCGGAAATTCACAGTCGCTGATTTGGAGAAGCAAGTAGCCCGTCAAGAAGCATCCTGGATAAAGAGGTAAGGTATCGTGAATAGAGACCCGGTGATGAAGTCTATCACGTCCGCTTCAAGTACTTCTTCTGTGGTTCAAAGCGTCGGCGGAAGTTACCCGTTCAATTCGGCTGTGGCTTTAGGTGTTTTCCCTTTATTATTTGCATTTTTCACTTTTATGGATGAGCTACAGGAGCGCGACCCTCGTCGCAATGTTTTCAACTGCGTTAGGCTTCATCCCGCCGCCCGGCCACAGACACAACACACGCCCCTACACACTCATATCAACGAGTCCGAGCATACAAACCGGTGGAAAATTCAATCCAATTCCTCGTTGCTGCAGCGGTTTACCAGAACGACCTTGGAGCATCGTATAATCCTGCGTATACATAGTTTCTGGGGTACGTGTTGAGCGAGAATTCCAGCCGGGATCGCACGTGCGCGCGTTTTGATCCGCAAAAGAGTGATGCCATCACCGCTCTTTCGTCTCTTCTACGACGACATCTCTTTCGGTCTCCTCGCCAACCTGCAGCGTGCGCATCCCGGGCCACTGACGGAACTCCATGCATAAAGGGAATACATAGCAGGAATCATCCCGCCATCGTATTCGAGCTCCGTTACTGGCTCGAAGCTCTCGTTCTTGCTCTATGATCTCGGTGCAGGCTTCTTGTCGTCTGAACACATGTTTCCTGATAGGCTCTAACATCCAACCCAAACCTCACTCTGCGTACGGGTACCGCGACGAGATCGATTTCCCGCTGCCGATCGCGACGACGTGCACTCAGCCCGCGGCCATACCTGTATCAATATCTCTGCCAGATACACATCTCTGCCTGTGTCAGGCTGGATCCGATTTTCTGGGTTGTCTCATCATCGCAAAATTCACTGACCCACCCAATGCGTTCGATCCCCTTGTACATTGCTCAGGTCATCGAGGAACGAGCCGACACCCAGCGTGTGATTCCCGGATACATATTCTACGCGCTCTCGCACCACTCAGCACTGCTTCCCACTATTGATGTTATTCCTGCATCGCAACACGACTTCGCTGCTATGCCATCGCACCTTCCCGCCTTCCCTTTCCTGATGTCTCCGGCTTGCTCCTCTGCGCGGAACTCGTGGCATCTGCAGAGTCAACGCCCGTACCGCATCCCCTCCCCAGACATACCGCCACTGCGACAACGACGACACAGTGCGGTGCACCCGCACCGTACACTACACCAACTTACCACCTTGTTTACCGCCTTTGGGAAGAGCTATCTATGTATGAGGTGCACACGGTAACGCACTTATTCACACTGTATTCCCTGACACCATTTCGCATATCCATCCCTGTTCGTGTCCGCACCCGCCTTCTTTCACTCACTCAATACCCGCTTCAATTTTGTTCTTTCTCGCCGCACCCCACTGGCACAGCCTCCGCAACCACGCGTACGCCAGATTCCGGGTCCTACACTGCGCACGATGAAGCTGATACGATTCCGAAGTTTGTCCGATTCGGACTCGGCGTGCATCGGTACATATATTTCTTTGCTAAGTTCCAGGTTCTGCCGGAGAGAACGAATGCGGATGGATGCAAGATATATGTCGTGCAGAATTCGAGGGGAAATGTGTGATCTGCTCGGTATCAATCATTAAGTACTGCCCGTTAGTGCCGGTGTCGACCGTTGAACCTCGAAACTCGAAACTCCAAGTACGTTAGCCCAAATCTCAGCTCTCCCCCCTGTCTTGCTCACGACATTTCCCGCATAGCTCACTGATTGAAGTTTCCTTCCTGACTCCCGCCAGACGGTGCAATGTTTCTCCTTTTTGTTCATAATCAATTCCCGTCTTAGGCTTTATCTTTGTGCACAAGTTCGCATTCGCGTTTAGAGTTGTGTTTGGGCTCTCGATTCCGCGCCCCGATTCAAGATAATTCTTTGTTTGAGATGCCCATTCAACTCCAACTACAAACTCCAACTTCTGGCTCAACTCAAGTCTCAATCGCGCGTGCGTACGCACACTCGCCCATCGCGATTCCTTCCGCGTCCGTTTCGTGCCCATCCGCTTCACTAATTTCTCGCTTCAGGAATCCATACGCATCTCCAAAAGGTAGAGGCACAGTAGAATTAAAGTTTTTTTTCCTTCCTGCGCTGCGCTGATTCCGATTCAGGTTTGTTTTTTGGTCTGAAAAGCAGACCCAATGGTGAAATGCATCACGTCCGTCTTGAACATAGAGCCTCTTTTGTAAATTCTGGTGGAAGTCACCCGTTCAAATTGGGTGTGGGTCATGCTGTTTGCGTCAACTTTCCTTTTTGTCCCCTTACGCTGTCCAATTCAAATCATTCCTTTGCATTATTTCTGACGTCATCGTATAACGAGATTCGTGTTCAATTCCGCGCAATGAGCTTCAAACTCGGCTTCAGAGTGAGTCTTCATTCGACCTTGCCTCTCCCAATGTCAAAGGATCATTTTTCAGACGCTCCCACCAACTTGTTTAAAGGTAACTTGGACTGAGGATAGAGACCATGTGGTCAAACCGCCAATGGCCATGGATACGATGGACTCACTATATGCGACTAAATAAAAATTGCTGGAGGCAGTGTAGGCTTTTCAGCCGTACGTCCGTCCCAATACAGTTCAAACCTATTGAAGTCAGTACCGGGTGATCTGGAAATGTAACCGAAACTCTTAGTTTCCGCTTCTTCAACCCATTCTCGTTTGAACGAGTCTCAGGATCGGAAGGTTGAAACAAGGGTGGTTGAAACGAGGGTAGAGGGCCATCAATAACACAAGTTTGTTGTGTGGTTCAACCATCCCTGCGACTCCGAATCCGAGTATCCAGAACCCAAACCGGTTTTGATACGATTTCCCGCTGCCGGTTTTAGAACGCCCCGCATCATACATACCGTAAACCTACGTAGTTTCGCTCCATCAAATAACCACTGCGCTCGTTTCCTGCCGGCCTGTCGTCCCTTCGCAAAGCTGGCGGACGCGTTCGATGAATCAATGGTCAGCACGTGGGCGCGTTTTAATCCGCAACCGGCTGTGATGGCATCACCCTTCTCTCCCTTTTCCCTTTCTACGTCGATGTCCCTGCGCGCTCCTTGCTTGTTCCTCGTCAAGCTGCAGCGATCGCAGACCTCCGAGCACCTCCCACAAGCTGTTCTACTGTCTCGCTCACGCTGCAGGAAGTTACACCCGCTGCATTCATTACCGCTGCTGGCTTTCTTGTCGTCTTGCCCCTCCTCCGTGTGCGTACCATCCCACTCTGTGCACAAGGACTACATCGACACCTATCCGTTTCCCTTCCTGGTGTGTTGCCGATGACGTGCACTCGTCCCCGTCCCTGTGCTGTATCTGTTCCAGCTGCAGATGATTCAGATTGAATGCAAGTCACTCGCTCTTCTATGTCGCATAAGTTGCCTCGTCGTCGTCAATCCACCTGGATCAATGCACGCCCGTGCACAGCTACATCGAGGTATCGACGCCCATGCATTGTCGCGCACTCTGCCGCAGTTGGTCAGTCAAAGACCAAGACGAGGGGTCATTCTTTGCTACCTAGATCGACATGCCCCCGCTCCCACTCCACTCAGCAGTGACTGTCTCGCTATATATATATATGTGCATCGCAACACCCTGACTGCATCGCACCTACGCCTTCCTCTGACGTCGACACTTCCCTGCCTCCTGTCCTATCCCTCTGTCGCTCCTCTCGCCGAGGCGTCTGCATTAATGCCTGTTGCACCCCCTGAGATATCAACGTAGAGATCACTTCGCACCTGCCCGCTTTCAGCCACTCCTGCTTTCATTTACTCGCTTGCTTGTTGACCCACTCGTTTATCTTCACCGCCGCCGCCCGCGCTCACTGGCACACCTGCACCCTGCGCCTCCACGTCCTGCACACAATGCGATGCACGATCAGGCTGATGCATGTCCAATTCCCGATTGCGAAGTGCGTCCGAGTCCCTTGACCTTCCGCTCAGTTGCTCATTTTACGATTCCTTTCTGATCATTTTCATTCCCGAATCAACAAATGCGGATGGCGGTCGTTCGCGTGCAGAATTCGAGCAGAAAGAAATATATGGTGGGTACTTCTACTTCTACTTCCTGAAGCGCGGTGAATCCTAGCTCCCCTCACGCCCGAGGTTGCTCCCCTCTTTCGTTAGTACGTGATGGCTTCGCGTTTCCGTTTCGCGGTCTTGTTCTCATTCAAACGCGTTCGCGTTTTTCACTTTCGATTTCGCTCCTCGACTTTGCTTATCGCTCCCCGATTCAAGCTAATTATTTGCCCTGGTCTCCGATTCAACTCTTTTCAATTTATTCGTCTCCGATATCATCCGCAACCCCGACTCAAGCACGCCTCTTAAGTACAGTCCTGAGTTAGTTGAATTTTTGACTTCTTCCTTTCAGGTCCTTTTCTTTTTGCAGCGTAATTGCAGCGTAAATCATTGGACGACGGAGATGTTGAAGTTCAGTTTAAGGGCCGGTGGTGAACGCACAGTACGTGAAATACTCACTGTTAGCGGCTTAAGTCGCTCGTCCAAGTCGGGCCCGGCCTATGGAGGGGACACCATGTTTTCTTTTTTTGCGATTAGTCACTCGTTGATTTCAGCCAGCTCCGAGTCAAGTCTAAGCCCTGTTCCTCAGGTACGAATCCAGCGCGTCCACCTGACCTCTATCCAACCTCAGTATCTCTTCAGGGCTGCAGCATCGAGACTAAACCTTCTACAGACGTACTTTCATTGAAAGTACCGTCCCAATGGTGAAATGTATCACGTCCGTTTTGAATATACAGGTGATCTGAGAATTCTAGCGGAAGTCACCCGTTCAACTCGGGTTTGGGTCATGGAGCTTGATAATTGCTTTTTTCCGTTTAGGTTTGCCATCCCAAGCTAGTACTCCCTAGCAATACTTTTGCATCGTCCTTTCAAGTCATGTTCAATTCCTTTCAATGAGCTTCGTGTTCATTTTTTAGAACGAGCTTCATGTTCAATACGAATTCCGCGCAACCACTCGGTATAGTAGAGGATTATTCCTGTTCGACAGTAAGTAGCTCACTGGACTGCCCTTGACGATGGTGTTTTGAAATTCGCGAGCTGCTCCTGTTGATGTGTACGGGATAGAAATACGACCCGGTGAGGAATTCCATCATGTCCACTGTGAATATTTGAATCCTTGATCCTCGAAGTGTCTGCAGCTGAAGTTACCCTTCCAACCCGGCGACGGGTCATTCATGCTAGCTGATTCTTTTTCTTTCTGGACACAACCCTGGCGAATTCAATCTTGCTCTCAAAAAGACAGTATATTTTGAGAAGCAAACTCCGAGGAGCATGTAGTATCCTGCGTAATGAGGTCTGCCCAGGTGCGTCCAGAGACCCGCTGGTGAAGGGTGTCACGTCCGATTCGAAGTCTCCGTTTTATATTCACGCTTCAGCGGAAGTTACCCGTTCAATTCGGGTCTGGGTCTATGGCTCTGGCAACTTCACTTTGTTTTTGACTCTGAGTTGGCGATCTCTTTTATGTGTAGAGACCCGGTGGTGTGATTAATCACGTCCGCTCTGACCCATCAGCTGTCCAATATATGCTGTGGAAGTTCCCGTTCAATTCGGGTCCGGGTCATTCCATATTTGAGTGTCTTCATTTTATTCTTTGCGCATTTTTGTATGCTTCCCATTTTCACAGGATCGGCATTCTCATCGCAATTTTTGCAATGACCGTAGGCTCCATCCATCGACCGTCCCAAAGGTCACTGTTGAGAAGACAAGACAATATTATACCCACACTGCACTCCTATCCTATCAAGCTCAGAGGTCGATTCTGCGCTACATCTTGATCCCATATCTATGGCGCTCCAACTCCGCCTCCGAGTCCTAGTTCCCAGAATCCCAACCCACTCGCGGACTTCGGATCAATGGCCGGCAGGTTCGCGATGTTTGATCCGCAAGTGATCCGCAAGTGAACGCTGAATGATGTCATCACAGCTCTCTTTCTTCCTGCGACGTGTGTCGATGGCTTCTTTGCTCTCCTCGCCAAGCTGCAGCGCGCGCATCTCCAACGACGGGCTGAACATCAAGTAATCCACGAGCACCAATCAACTTCATGGCTCAGTAGAATTACCCTTGGCCCCGCCCGCTATCGTATCCTTCCTGCTCTATCACTCTGGAGCACCCCGCCGCCACATCTCTCCGAGTGACTGCGTCGCTCCAGGCAGGCACGTTATGTCCCGCATCCTGCCGTTCAAATGCAACACCCGTTGGCCATTTCTGATCAGCTCTACCATCGCCGTTATACCTCTCTGACCACGGGGACCCGTGTCGACATCCATTCCCCGTACGCCGACGATGTGCACTTCGCCCATCCCTGTCCAAATCTCATACAAGTCCCTCTTCTCACCGGCATCGCAACTGACCCTCCCAATCCAAGGTGTACCCGCATCGATCCCTATCTATTGCATGCATACACCGCAGCTCGTCAACGAAGGACGGGATACCCGGTGCATCATATATCAAGTCTGCAGTATTCGTAGGTCACAACGCCATGACGTCCCGACGCTATATGCATCCTACCTTCCCCTTCCTGATGTCCATCTTGCCAGGCACTTCCCTATCTCGTACTCCGCTCCGCTCGCCCGAATCCCCAGCTCGCATCGCCAACGCTCTGGACTGTACTCCCGTCGATATTGCAAGTCTGCCGCCGCCCGTGCTCCACACCTGCCCCCGGGACAACCAACGTCCGTGCTGTGCGCCATGCCCACCTTGCAGAAGAAGTACGTACATACGAGGACTCAAAAATGCATCTGTCTCGTCCTGTCGGATTCCCGGACGCTCAGGCCCTTTCGCGTATCTACGTCCCTATCCCTGTAGGCTGTCCGTGTCCGTACCTGTATGTTTTCTGCTTTCGCTCCCTCACTCACTCGTTCCCCATTTATGCTTGTTATCTTCACCGCGCTGTGAATCCACTCCTGACATAGGCATGCCCTGCGGATGCAACCACGCTGGCTTCTGAGTCCCGCGCAGGACGAAGCTTTCCCGAAGGCTGACGCACAGTACCATGCCAGATCACAACATGTGTCGTGCCCGAGGACCGTAACGGTATCAAATTTTGTGATTATCAGTCACTCATTTTCGAACAGATCCGGAGGCGAATGCGAATGGATACGGATGCGGATGGATCCTGTGCAGAATACGAGGGTGAAAAATATGAGAGACATGGTGCAGGTGAGTATCGATATATCAATACTGTCCGTTCATTTGTCGCCGATACATCCAAGATCCGCCCCCAACCCCAACTGTAGCACGCTCAATTGCAAGCATCTATCTTGAGTACAATATTAATCCTGAGTTACTTGAATTACGACTTCTTCCATTTAGCACAAGGCTTTCCATATTTCAGTGCGGAACATGAAGGAGGACACCGATATAGCAGTTCACTTCAAGAACCGGTGGTGAACACACAGCATGTAAGATATTTAGGTTCAAGTCGCCCGTTCAAGTCGGGCCTGGCTCATGGTGGAAGACATCAGATTTTTTTTCTTCTTTGCGGTGTCTTGTAACATCGTTTACCGTATTCACTCATTGATTTTAGCGAGCTTCGAAAGAAGTCTGACCTTTGTTCCCCAAGTTTACGAAGTCTCAATTGTACGCGTCCATGTCATAGGCTCTATCCAACCTCAGTAACTTCTCGAACTCAACGGCTCGGCATCAAGACGAAACCTCCTCTACCCCTACGTTGGATTCAAACTCAAGACCCAATGGTGAAATGCATCTCATCCGCTTTGAATGTAGGCGTGGTACTCAGAACTCAGGCGGAAGTCACCCGTTCAACTCGGGTTTGGCTCATAGCTCCTGTGTCACGTTTTTTTTCTCTCCCTTTGAGAATTTTGCTCCAATCCATTCAATCAGATTCGTTTGCCCAATTTTCCGTCTCCAGTTCATGGCTGAATCCTTACAACGAGCCTCAGATTCAGTTCCGCGTCGCGCGGCGAGCTATCAAACCTGGTAGCGGGAATATATATCATACTCGTTCAAGTCGGGTCTGGCTCTTGGGCTCGTAGATTCTCTGTTCGCATCGTTGAGTGGTAGAATCTATTTTCATCTATGGGGGGCTATTCTCACATGCGTTGTACACAAATAATATTGGATGTGTTGAAAAAGTCTGACTGCGACTTGAGCAATGAGGTAGAGTGCACTTCGCAACGGACGCTCGAAACCAATGAGACATCACGGCTCAGAGAGCATGCTGCATAAGGAGGTGAACGTCACTGCGTACAAAGAATCGGTGGTGAAGCGCAGGGTGGCCACTTCGGCATGGTGCGTGTATGAGAAGTGTCGATGGCAATCACCCGTTCCCCTCGGGTCCCTGCGGACCTTAGAAACCTTTTAGATGTGCGCTTTCCGATTTTCGCATCATCTGTACCGTGACCTATTCTCCCATACATTGCAAAGCCTGACCGAAGACCAACCAACCAAGTACAGCGAACTTCGCGACGGAAACTCGCAGTCCTGGCCTTTTGAGAAGTAAACCCGTCAAGAAGCATCCTGAATGGATAGGTGAATGTGACTATGAATGGAAACCCAGTGGTGAAGTGCATCACGTCCACTTCTAATGCATGAAGCCCCTCTGAAGTGCAAGTGGAAGTTACCCGTTCAACTCGGGTCTGGGTCCATAACGCGGTGTTTCGAAACTTTTTTGGTCTCTGATGGAGCGCTTTTAAAAATTTCCTCCCTGCATCTGCCCTGATTCTCGACTTATTTTTCTATGTGTTAGGAATCCTGTCCGCAGACCGAGGATCCAAATCGAAGGAGACTGACCGCCACTGACTTTCCGAGAAATAAATTCTCGGACTCGCAGAGCAGACTGGATGACAATATTAACGTGGATGGACCTGCATAGAGAGACCTGCTGGTGAACTGCATCAGCTCCGTTCCCAATCCGTGCAGCATTTCTGAACCGAGAGTGGAAGTCAGTCATTCAACTCCGGTCGCGGTCCGTGGCGCTCTCAGCATATATATATTTTTCCTATCCTTTCACGGTTGTGTTCGGTTTCGAGTACTAGTCCCATCGCTTCAGACTCGGTGGCGATGAATTATATTCCATATGCGTTGAGGACTCACCCCGGTTCAGTGTATAAGTGTTCCGGTGGAATTTACCCGTATAACTCAGGTTCGGGTCATTTGTAAATGCTGTTCCTTTTTTTTCGACTCTGGAAGACCCTCAATTGCAATCAGTTCAAGTCAAAATTAATGGTGCATTCAACAGTTGTTGGTGTGGACTGAACATTGATTGGGAAAGAAATAAACTGTCCCAGCTGGAGATCAAGTACGTCGTGATGATAGAAAGAGAAGCCTGCTAATGAGCGGATGTGAACGGTGGTTGAAAGACTAGCGACCGGATACAGACATATGGAGAGCCAGCACTGACTCGCTAGCAGTAGTATGTCGTTCCTACGCAAAAACTAATTACAGGCGGACGTGTTTGATGATCAATGGCCAATATTGGGTCAGCACGTGGGCGTGTTTTGATCCGCATCGAACTCCGCAAATCGGCTGTGATGTGACATGTCATCGTATCCGACCGCCGTGACCTGCCTCCCTGCAATTGCCATCTTGTCCCTCCCCTCCTCCCCGAATCCTGATCGCCTCTACCATTCCACCATCGTATCACTCTGGAACGCATGTCGCAACGAACCAGTACCACAGATCCCGGGCCGACGACAGCGACGCCCGTGGCCCGGCTTACACCATCAATCCTGAATCCTACTCATCTCACCCCCGGCGGTGCAGTTGTGGTTACGCACCCCTTGCGCACCCTTGCGGTTGCAAGTTGCAATCTCCAGTTGTTCTTTCATCAATATTCCTTCCAGGGCATCGCGTTTTGCGTTTTGCGTTTTGCAACTGCGTTCAGGCTCGATTTCGATTTCGATTCTGCTCGCCGGTTCCCATGAATTTGTTTGTCTCCACACATAGGAGGGCATTCACAATATTACTACTAGCGAATCAAGATCCTCCGCGAACTCGACTTCAACTTCAAGTCAGCTCAATCTCAAGCACACCCGCTGCTCGTCCGTTTCTCCGGTGTCCTTCCCGATGATTCGTTTGAGTGCTCGGTTGCATAGTATGCATCTTGACGTCGCCATAGTATTTTTTCCGCGCTGCGCTCATTGTGCTTCACCGTCCGGCTTCTACTGCTCATAGTTGATTCATAACGACTTGGATGACGCATGAAGAATCTCCAAAGTGCCGCGGATCCGCTTGATGCACCGCCGTTTGTATCCTTTTACTGGAATTTCGACTCCTTTCATTCCGGCCTGTTCTTGTTCTTTTTCCTTCTTCTTGCGGTGTGAAATCATTGAAGGAAGGTGTAGATATCGAACTGCCCTTCAAGGGCAGGTGGTGAACCAGTGAAATACTTACAGCTAGCGGTTCAACTTCAAGTCGCGCGTTCAAGTCGGGCCCGACTCATGGCCCAAAAGCGTATGTTTCTCTCTCTCTCTCTTGTGGTTTCTAAATATTCTTTTAGCACGAGTACTCCCTCGTTCATTTTAGCCAGACTCGAATAAAGGTGGATTACTTCGTAGCATCGACAAGCCATCCGCTCACAGAAAAAGCAGACCCAAGCTTAAATGCTTCACATCTAGTTTGAATTTGATATGCCCATTGAATTCCGGCGAAAGTCACCCGTTTTTTTTTTCGGCTTTGGGTCATGAAACCTGCTCGGAGTTTTTTGTCCGGACCTTTTGAATTCAGGCACGATTTCAGGTTCCAGGTCCCAAGCGTTCATTCATTCTTTTGCGTTGGTTTTCAGGTCAGGTTCAATTTTTTAGAACGAGCTCTGCACGGTGAGCTTGAAATTCGGTAGCGGAATGTTGCATTACATCCATTCACACCGGAGTTTGAAGGAAATTCGCGTCGGCCAATATCCGGCCAATAGAGGGTATATTGGCCGAATATTGGCCGAATTTTTCCTGAAATATTGTCCGACCAATATTTGGCCAATATACCCTCTATTGGCCGGATATTGGCCGGATTTTATTTCGCTTCCGCTACGTTTCAACCCTGGGCTTACATAGATGTCTTTTGAGGGTATTTATTGATTTCAACTCTGCAGTTGGCTCCGTCCGTTCAAAACTCGTCTTGACACGTAAATCCACGTAACTGACAGACAGCGATGAGCTGGCAGTCAGCGCTTTTCTTCGTACCAACAAGATGGGTAAGTCGGACGCCGAGTACCATCTGTGCACCTGCCGTGCATGTTTACTGGCTGGGCCCGATGGAAGTCCTCAAACCCTGAAGACTCTGAGAGAGCACACCAAGGTTGATGCCCGAAGACAAAGACTAGCGGAGACCACCACAGCTTCCTCTACCTCTGCTTTGCAATCCGGCAGCTTAAACAGATCATCTGGAGGGGATAAAATGGCACAGATAACCCCAACAGATCATGTGGGCTCGCATTGGGATGAGCAATCTGATCTCGGAGGGGATTCATTTCCATTTGACCTGCCTTCGGATGATTCTGAGGATAATCCGTACTCCCTCGCGCATTTCCAGTGGCTTGCTGGTGATGATGAGCTTTCCTCCACTCAAGAGTCTTCTCACCTCTACTTTTCCTCCGACTCCGAGATGGACTCAGACTCACCGGAAATTAGCCTTGGCGATGACGATTCCTCAGACGAAGAGGAAACTGCAGAGGAGGCGGAAAGTGACCCTGAAGACATTACCCTAGACCCACTATTTTGCTCAAGATCATCCCTCTTCGATGCGTTCCAGCCTGGTCTCGAGAACGACGACGAACCATCCCATCCCTCTGCATTTGATGACCACCCCGCGATCCGAAATGCATACATTCGTGCATTCGTGGGAGCAGCTTTCAACGGCATGACGAGAAATGCGATTGCCAACATGCTTGATGGTTCCCGCATCATCCTGAAATCAGCTGAAGCTTCTGGTGTACATTACCCCGGTCTATCCAACTTCGCCCGAACCTTACCTACCGTCGAAAAACGGCTTGGTGTATCAACAGAGTCTCTGATCACATATCTTTTCCTCTGTGATGTTTGCTGGCTACCGCATTTCCCTGAAGAGTTATCGAAGCTGAAGGATAGTCAATGTGATCAGCCCGACTGCTCCGGAACCCTCTACACGGTCAAGAGATTGTCTGGTGGTGTTGAGAAACGAACCCCAGTTCTCACTCTACCCTTTGTTCCTCCCGAGAAGGCGATCCAGCGGATGTGTCTTCAGCCTGGGAAGGTAGCGCAATGGCAGGAATGGCGGGGCCCTCTTGATGCTGTTGGTCCGCGCAAACCGTCGACGTTGACGGGATATGCTGCATTTCCCGATCCAAACAAGCCGATGAAAGATATCACCGATGGATGGGGCTGGAGGGCATTGCAGGCCGGACTCAAACGTCGCCGGAATGGGTCTTGGGATGTCCGAGATGTTGATGTTGCAGAAGTGAAACAGCAGTTCGTGGCGCTGCCAAACGGCCTTATTATCCAGATCAATATTGACTGGTGCGTTGATTTTCATTTTCTTTGGCCTCTGGTGTGTTGAAGAAAATCGAACACCAGGTTTCAGGCCATCAAGGGCGCCTGCCACTCAACAGGTGCACTGTATGCGACGATCTGCAACAATCCTACCCGCATACGCTCGCTACAAGAGGAGACAATGCTTCTTATGATGTTTCCTGGACCGCATGAACCTACTTCTGAACAGTTCAACAACGTCATGGCAATTTGTGTTGAACGATTCAAAAAGCTGTATGATGGTAGGTTCAACATTTATAACTAGTTCTCCCAACTCAATTGCTGTTTGAAAGGTGTACAATTCTACGTACACGGACAGCTCGATCCCCAGCCATTCCATGTGCAGATTGGAAGCGATGTCTCTGATCTTCCTGCGAGCCGTAAAACAAGCGGATTGATCGCATGCACATCAAAATATTTCATGTGCGACCATTGCGATGCCCCATTTCATTCACTTGTGAACCCAGATGCGTTCAATTCGAGCAGTATGTTGCGTGATGATCATCTCAGCTCATGAACTGATTTATTTCAGAACTGAATGCAAGAGATCCATGGCGCTACTTGAAGTATGCATTTCGCGCTCGCGATGCGTCTGAGGAGGTCGCTGAGGAGATCAGTCGGCGACGGGGAGTCCGATATTCGGTGATGGATGAGCTGGTCAACTGGCTTCCGGGCATCTCGGGGCTTTTGGATTTGATGCACTGTATTTTTGGCAGTACGTGATCCCATTTATGCTCGCTTTTTTAGCTCTTTACGAGTGGTTTTTTTCCCCACAGCATTGATAAAGCACATTTGCAAGAATATTCTGTACAAGACCGGCATGATTGACAGCGAGGCGGGACAGAAGTTAGAAGCATTCTTCTCAAACCTGATCTGGCCACCTTCAATCAGTCGCCTGCCACCTTCGGTTTGTCTGCTGTTTGTCCCGGATTCAGAGTAGTCATTTTTTATTTTTACAGGTTGCGCGCGGTGCCGGTTCAATAAAGGCTGACCAATGGCGCTCACAGCTTACCGTTTTCTTTGTCGGATTATTCCTGGCCTGGCAAGTGGACGGCGAAATACCAGACATCAATGCTCCTCCATCTGCAGCTAACACCAAGAATGCTGCAGCACAAGCGGCTCAAGAGAAACTGGTACGCGCGAG